CCGGGACGGGCCGTTTAGCAAAATTCACGGCCCTACCCAATATAATAATGCGCTAGTTGCTTTTAGGCGCGTCTGTAATAATTTATCCTCCCTAACTCGGGTGCACATTTATGTGACCCAAATCCAAATCTCAGCGGAGTTGAAATGCGTCTCTAAATCGCGGGTACATTGATTGTAACGTGGTTCGAGATGCATGTCCATGACGTTGCAAATTCCCTTAAAAAATAAGAATGAGATGAGCCTCGCCGAATAAAAATACAAATTGCGGGGCCCTCAGTAAATACTTGTTTTAAATTACTTAGAATTCAGGAGGACCGTTTAGCGAATTTCACGACCTTCCCAAAATAATAACACGCTAGTCCCTTTAGGCGCGTGTTTAATAATTTACTTTCTTAAACATGGGTGTGCATTTCATGTGACCCAAATCCAAATCCCAAAACATCAAATAAAAATGTGTTCCGGATTGTGGGCGCATTTCATGTGACGCAATCCAAAGACATGTTTCAAGCGATGTTCACATTCTTTTAAAATAATAATAACAAAGTGGTTAAAAGTTAAAATTTGCACATAAGTTCATATTTGTATAAAATCAGATAATCAAGCCGAATATAACAGTTGAGCGACCGTGCTAGAACCACGGAACTCGGGAATGCCTAACACCTTCTCCCGGGTTAACAGAATTCCTTATCCGGATTTCTGGTACGCAGACTGTAATATGGAGTCATTCTTTTCCTCGATTCGGGATTAAAATTGGTGACTTGGGACACCCTAAATCTCCCAAGTGGCGACTCTGAAATAAATAAACCAATCCCGTTTCGATTGTCCTTTAATTGGAAAAGACTCCCCTTGCCCCCTCGCGGGGCGGAAAAAAGAGGTGTGACAATAAGGACTGTGAAAATGATGGCATCGTCCGACACTTCACTGTCAGACATACACCACAACAGAATGGAGTGGTAGAACGCATGAACCAGACCTTGCTGGAGAAGGTACGGTGTATGTTGTCCAATGCTGGCTTGGGAATTTTTTTTGGGGCTGAGGTAATAACATATGCATACCACCTCATTAATCATCTACCATCTGTTGTTATCTATGGCAAGACACTATTTGAAAAATGGTATGGAAAGCCTGTTGTAGATCATGACTTTTTGCCCGTGTTTGGCTCAACTGCATATTATCATGTGACATAGTTAAAATTTGATCCAAGGGCAAAGAAGGCTATTTTTATGGGATTACTTCTGGAGTCAAAGGATATCGCTTATGGTGTCGTATGATAAAGAAAGTAATATTCAGAAGGGATGTTACATTCGATGAATCTGCTATGTTAAATAAGGTAACAGATGAAGATACCAAATAAGATGAGGGTGCTTCTAAGCAGGTGGAGCTTGATGGAAAATTTATTTTTCATACACAAGAAGCAACGGAGGAAACAAATGAAGATTATCCTCTGGAAGAAGATCTAGTAGAGGGGGAGATTCCAACTCAGGAACCTCAACAACAACTTGAATCAATAGCAACCAGCAAGCCAAAAGGAACAATGAAGAAACATGTTCGTCTCATAGAGACGGTGGCTTGTGCAGCCTCAATTACAGCTGATGGTGTTCCTACCACCTATAAAGACGCAATCCAAAGTTCAGAAGAAGATAAGTGGAGGATTGCCATGAATGAATAAATGTAGTCCCTTCATCAGAATCGCACATGGAAATTGGCCAATCTCCCGAAGGGAAAGAAAACAATTGGGTTCAAATGGGTATTTGCAAAGAAAAAAGGATTTCCTAACCAAGAAGATGTTCGCTATAAAGCAAGATTAATGGCCAAAGGATATGCTCAAAATGAGGGAATTGATTATAATGAGGTATTTTCTCCAGTCGTGAAACACTCCTCCATTATAGTTTTTTTGGCTTTGGTAGCACAGTTGAATTTGGAACTAGTTCAGTTAGATGTAAAAACTGCATTTTTACATGGAGACTTGGAAGAGGAAATCTATATGAATCAGCCAGAAGGATTCAAAGTTGTTGGAAAGGAAAATATGGTGTGTAAACTTGAAAAATCATTCTACGGATTAAAATAACCTTCTAGACAATGGTACAAACAATTTGACAAGTTTATGTTGTGGCAGAAGTACAGAAGAAGCAAATACGATCATTGTGTGTATTTGTGCAAGCTTGAAGATGGATCCTTCATATATCTTTTCCTTTCCTGGATCATGCATATACTTGCTTACAACTACGATAACATACGAAATATCAGGTCTTGTGCAAACCATTGCCTACATCAAGATACCAACGACATTCGCATATGGCACTCTTGACATATACTCTCGTTCAGCTTCATTCTTCGGCGACATAGCAACACTAAGCTTAAAGTGAGGAGCAAGTAGAGTGCTAACCGACTTCGTGTTGTCATTCACGCCAAATCGATCGATTACTCTCTTCAAGTATTCTTTCTGAGATAGATAGAGTTTCTTTGAATGTCTATCTCTTTTATCTCCATGTCAAGAATTTTCTTCGCCTCACCCAAATTCTTCATCTCAAACTCATTTCTTAGTTGAATCTTCAACTTCTCAATTTCTTCTTGACCTTTGGAAGCTATCAACATATCATCAACGTAGGGAGAAAGAAGAATCAAATGCCTTAGGAGATAAGAAGGCAAGTGAGAGATGTTTACAAATGAACAAAATCCTTGCTATTTATAGAAGGGAAATTGCCCTAATAATGTCATGCATGACATCACATTAAGTATGAACATGCAATAAATGCATGAAAATGCATCTACCAATTTCTTCCAAAAAGAGGTTTCAAATATTCACACTAGTTCACATCAATCTTGACAAATTCAACAAATCTCCACCTTGGCAAGATTCCACATTTTTAATTTTCTCTTACTGATAAATTTTGATTGTGTCTTCAACTTCAATCTTCAAAGTTCAACAATATTGATTAAGTTCAAACAATGTTGAAACTTGACCGCAGTCACTACTTTCGTTAGCATATCGGCAATGTTGTCTGTAGTCCGAATTTTCTGCACCATGATTCCACCTTTTTCTATAATATCTCATACAAAGTGATATCAAACATCAATGTGCTTCGTCCTTGCACGATAAACTTGGTTCTTTGCTAACTAGATAACATTTTGACTATCACAAAATAGTGTGATATTTTCTTGACCAATACCAAGCTCTCTAAGCAACCCTTGAAGCCAAATTGCGTCTTTTACAGACTCCGTAATAGCCATGTACTCTGCCTCAGTTGTAGACAAACAACTATTGACTGCAAAGTAGACTTCCAACTAACTGGTGCCTTTGCAAAAGTAAACACATAACCAATAGTTGATCTTCGTTTGTCCAGATCACCCACATAATCTAAGTCACAATATCCAACCAGATAATGACTATCTTCCTGCTCAAAAATCAATCTAACATCTAGAGTATTACGAATACACCGTAGTATTTCACTTGTATTTTTAGTGTGAAATAAAGTTTGAGTTGATTGTGTCTGAGGACTAGGAAAAAATCAAATTTTGCCGAACCTCGTTAATTTTCGGTGTTCCTTTTATTATTGTCTTATTTACTATTTATTAACTACCATTAGATATAGTAGTTGTGATTTAATCACTCTCTATATATTCGGCTTCCGCAACACGGACATGGAGGCTTCACGTATTATGGGCCAAATTTTGCCATAAGTAATCAATTAGTGATCTATATTTGCACAGTCCGGTAAACTCTTCACTTCTTTTATTTTCTTCCCCAGATCTGATATGAGAAAGTACATCTAGAAATTGCTGGTGGTCTATCAAAGCTTTGCCAGAGTTTACTGGAGGTTTGTCAAAGCTTTAGATTTGAGACTTGACGTCTTTGGGAATGAGAGAATGAGGACTGTTATACCCTCTTTAAGCCCTTCGCTTTCCTTTGGGAACTTGCCTATTCATTCCATCGACAATGGCTCGTTGATTAGTCAGACCCTTAGGAGGAATAACCAAAAGGCTTTTGCTTCAGCAGCAACCCCGGCCAGTCATATTTAATTTGAGTAGAGATTACATATTGGAGATGCAAAGGGAAGCATTTGAAGGGAACATTCTGAGACTCATTCGCTACGAACTTGAGCGTTCTCCTCCCTTTCAGGTACCATCTTTCTCATCTTGTTAGTTTTTGTCCCTTCCTTGTCGGAGTATGTGTGAATTGGTTGCACTAAAGTGGGATTCGAAGCAAGAGAATTATTGCTGGATAGGGAAGTGTTTTTCTAATTCAAATTGATGTTTCACTCCTCGAAGAAGGAGGTAAGAGAGGAAGAAAAGGAAAGAAAAAAGAAAAAAAGAGAAAAAGGGTGAGGATTTTTTTTTTTGGACCATTTTACGCGCATGAAAAATGTGAGGAACACTTGACTTGCCATGTGAGCTTTTTGTCTAAATGGAACATATGAAATGTGGCTGAAGTATTCAATTGGAACAGACTTAAGATAGAGTGTGTAAGTGAAAAGTGAGCATAACTTTAAGGGGCGACCGATGTATTTGGCCTTTGATAAAGTTAAAAAATCAGAACTGCTTAATAATATACTTAGACTATATTAAACCTACTCCCAAACATAAGGGTCCATTTATACCATTTTCATTTTTCACCAAAACTTTCATTACAAGCAGTCGAGAGCTATAGTTCCTTTTTGCTTGTTTCTTTTCCTTTTCCCCAGTTCTCCATTAGAAGAACCCCACCCCGCGTCATCTCGTTTCGAAAGCTTTGATTTCTCAAAATTCTCCATTGAAAAAACATTTGCAGTCTCTCTCTCTCCCTCTCTGTCTCTGTGAAAATTAAGAGAAACGCCAAAATGAATAGTGTGATTACTGAAGTTGCAGCGCTACTTAAACGCCGTTGCTCTGCTGGAAAACGCAAACCCAAGTTTTTCAAGAGAAGAGGTAACCCCATTTGGCTAGTAGAATCAACAATTTCATTGATAATTTCTATCCTCTCATAATCTGGAAACTAACCTCTTTTACCATTCCCCAATAGTTTGAGAACTTTTTTCTTTTCATAGTCAAGATAAAAGCAAAACGGAGAAGTAAAAAAGCAGTAGCTGTTAAAGGAGAAGAAGGAGTTAGCCCACTGGTGAAGAAGTATTGGGTCCAAAGATATGATCTTTTCTTAAGATATGACGAAGGAATTAAGATGGATGAAGAGGGCTGGTTTTCGGTTACGCCGGAGCAGATTGCCGTCAGGCATGCCGCCCGCTGTGGAGGCGGTGTCGTCATTGATGCTTTCGCTGGTGTTGGTGGCAATGCTATCCAATTTGCAACTATGTATGTAGTGTAGCGTTTATTGCTGAGTCCTTTTGTTTTCAATTATTTTTTGGGGTCTTCTTTTAGTCTGCCTCTAATACAAAGAACATAAAAGATGGAAATGAACCCATTAATTAATTTCTCTACTGCCATTCTCTATTTCTCTGTGCGTTGTTCAAGTGGAAATTCACCTAGTATACGCAAAAATGAGAATTATTCCTTACTTGTTTTGTATATAAGAGTTCATTAAATCTTAGTCAATCTCGTAGACCTGTATTTCTGTGAGATTATAGGTTTAGAAGTTGAAATGTTCTGTTGGTTGAATTGCTTGTCTGGTCTCAAAGAAGTAGTAAAATCAGATAGTAATTCTACAAGAGTTGGGAATGCTATAATGTTCAGTGTACGTACCAGTTGCATTGTCTTTGCAATGTTCAGTACCTAGGTCGATTTGTGATGTCAATTTTGGGTGATATTTACTCAAAGTTGACAATAGGGGTTATGTATTTATCATTTTCTATTTCCGTACTCTTTGTAATAACTTATGGTACTTTGTTCGTTTTATGTATATAAAAACTAGCCCTAGACTTCATCGCCTAGTGGATTTTCCCAAAAAAAAAGCATTTGTTTTTTGATAAATTGCATTTACTTCAATGTTAACTCAAAAAGACTATTGCTTCTTTCAAAGATGCAATTTTTTTATGGTGATTGGTCATAAATCTAGTGCACTTCCTCTATATGAGCTACCTGCATGAGTCTTGAGAAATATCTTCTTGAAGCTATTGATAAGAGAATGGTAGTTTAATGATTTTTATGGTTCTTAGACTCATAACATATCATTATCTCCCATGATCTCATACATAGGTGTCATCATGTCATTGCAATTGATATTGACCCTAGAAAAGTTGCATTGGCTTTTGAAAATGCAAAGGTATACGGTGTTGAAGAGCATATTGATTTCATTGTGGGAGACTTTTTCCAACTGGCCCCATCCTTGAAGGTGCATCCTCTCCCTCCCTCCCTCTCTCTCTCTATATATATTTATATCTCCCTGTCGATTGTGGGTATACGTATATCCTCTCTGTTAAAAGCTATAGTATCTTTATCTAGCTGGAGTCGATAGAAATGATAAGCTGGATGTTATGGAATATTTGTTGGTTTTTCTGTGTAAGTGGATCGTGCATTTGTTTTGTTATATTAACTTTCTATATCTAGAAGTGTTTAACATGTTCATGATTTTCACATTTGGTATGAGGCTCATGCTGCCTCAATATTATCCTTCCGGGATATTAAGATTTTAGAAAGGAACAGTATGGGACTGTCAGGATTTAGCTGATGGCAGAATGAGACTATATGCCGTGCAGTTTGGGAATGGTCAAAAGTCAATCTTTTACCCCTGCACAAGAGTGAGGCTGTTTTATGCTTCACGCAATCTTACTGGTATTTAGATAACTTGACAATTGTGTTTGGTTGTTATAATCATGATGCACTATTGATTTGGAACTCTTGATTTAGAGATCCACGTTAACTGCTCTTTCTGTTTGGCAGTTTAATTATAACTTTCTTTTTTTTTGGTCTAGATAATAGATATGGCTTTGATCAACAAAAATGATAAACATTGCTTAGATTAACGAAAATGTGATTCTGGTGTATTTTGTCTCGTTAAGCTTTGAAATTATGTCCTCGTCTAGTTTCACTATCTTGAAAACCAAAATGATTTTAAATCATTTATTATGTCTTGCAAACTGTTCTGGAGCACATTTACCATTGTGTCAAGGCTAAAGCTTAGGCTGTTCTGCAGCCATTGGCATAAAAAAATGGATGATACAACATTCTTGATTTTTTTTTTAAACAAAAAAGAGAGAGAGAGAGAGAGAGAGAGAGGATGATACAACATCCTGTTTTGTCTAGTGAGGTTAAGTCTGTTGTTGTTTCCATCTTATGATGTATGATCCAGGATTCCAGATTTGTCTCCACAAAAATGCTTGCTTCTGTCACTGGAAGGAGCCTCTGCTTATTTGTTGCTGGAAGCAGCCTTAGTTGCATGAAATTATTTTGACACTGGATGTCCGTAGAAATTGCCTCTTGAAGTAGCTTTGACGATAAATATTGTCCCGTTCTGTAAGTAGATGGTAAAACTTTTAAATCCCAAAATTTGACCGTCACTAAAGAGTATCACTAGATCTCCTTAAATTTTTAAACCGTGAGAGGATTTTAAACTACCTGTTGATAGATTCTACTTCTTTGCTATGCTATTTTTCCACTTACCTTGGAGTAGCATGAAACTAAAGCATGTTAGATCTTGATGGGTTGGATAGCTGCATTTGGACCATCGATTATGTGTTTGTGTACTTTCACCAAGTGATATGTTCTCAGCAAAGAATTGGATAATAGATTCCCCAAGGATCAATAAATAACGCTGTTGCAAGGTTTTGAGCATTGCAAGTCCATAAAATTTAGGGAGACCAATAATGCGTTGTTGAGGGACTACCATTCAATCCTTTCCATTCTCTAAGTTCCCCTTTGCAGTTTCTCTTCCTAAATGTTACCATCTTCTCTTTACTAGGGGAACGTAGTATTTCTTTCACCTCCATGGGGTGGTCCAGCATATAAGGCAAATGAAACTTTTACCCTCGACTTACTGAAGCCAAAAAATGGGTATGTCCTGCATTTGGCTAATTAGTTGTTTCTATGTACTTGGGTTTTTGTTATTTCATAGTTACTTTCTCATGTTGCATTTTAGACCTGTCATTGTCAGTTGCACTCTTCAGTAAAATCTATATCTACTCTTTTTACGCTATGTTAATTTTTCTTTCCATATATTTGGCTTTTGGTGTCACTGAAAATCAATAATACACTTGGCAATTCAACTTTTGTTTTCTTTTCATTTCGTTTCCCCTCAGATTTATCTTAAATTACCCCAAGAACTTTTCTATAAAGATAAATATGCCAAAAAGGGTGGTACAGTTGAAAGGTGGGAATCAAAGCTTGATCATCAGGCTTTGTTTCATATAAAAATTTCCCAGATGTGATTGAGAAGTTGGGTCTGGTTAGGAGGGGTTATAATTAATCCAATCTTCAACTGCTGTCCATGGTTTAATAAATAAATACTTGTATTTCTAGTTCTGTTGATAATCTGAGAGTAACTTAGCAAAAATTAAAAATTTAAAAACATAAATCTGAGAATATTTTCAATCCTTATGTTAATATGTTCCGATCTTGTCTAATGAGCTATAGTCCAAATGCACCTTATTTCCGTCTAATAGGATCAGGATGGGGTTTTTATATTGAGACTTTTTAATAAGTTACATGTTGAAAAAGCTCTTTTACTTTTTGTGCAGTTATTCATTGTTCCAAGTTGCTCAAAGCATAACACCAAATGTCATTATGTATTTGCCTCGTAATGTGGACTTACAGCAAGTTGAAGGGCTTTCTTGGTTGTCTTCTCCCCCTATGAAAGTCGAGGTAGTCTGCTTCTCTTTGTTGCGCTAAATGGTCCATTAAACAGTTTTACTAGAACCGGTTTCCTTATGCAGATTGAAGAGAATATGCTTCATGGAAGGTTGAAGAGCATAACTGCTTATTTTGGTGATATCGTGTTCTAAACCTCAGCATGTATGAACTCTAACCGGAATCTAACAATGCCCTTTTTAATTTTATGTATCTCTATATCCATCAAAGTCTGTTCAATCGAAGACTCTGTACATATGAAAATATATGGTCTCCGGTTGACTCCTGCTGTTTTAGAACTTCATGTTAATTCAGTTACGAATTACGATGGATTACAGGATTAGCACCGTATATGGCCAAGTGCATGCTGCTGAGCTGATTAATGAGGATGAAATTAGAAGTTTCCGGCATTGTATTGCTGATTAATGAAGACAAAACTGTAGATTTTGCTATTTAGTACTTTAGAACAAAAAAGAGAGGGAAAATAGTAAGAGTTGATTCTTCTATGTACAAACATATGTAATATGTATATCTTGTCTTGCTAGGTCAGTTTGAGAGTGACTTTTTCACTAAATAAAGTATTTTATCTGTGCGTATGCAATATCTGGAAGGAAAGGGATGTGTCTATTAATCTTAAACCAACCAATAAATGTTCATGAATATTTTTAGGCTTGGGTTGTTATCACAATATAATTTGTCATCCATCTTTAGGACCACCCAAAGAAACTCGTTTTCTGACTTCATCTTCATCTGACTTTAGGATACTGCAACGCCAATAACCCCATATACTAAAGAAGGAAGGTGATGTATTAGTTTTTGGTAGAAGCAAGTTGCTATAATGTAAGGTAAATACAGATGTATTTGGTGCTCAATTGAGCATATCCTAAAAGTGCTAGTTAGCAGCCTTTAGTAAAGAGCTACCATGATGTACCAAACCTTAGAAACAATTATGTTATATCCTATTTTGTGTATCATTTTTATCTACATTTCACAGAAATTAATGAAACCGTAAGGACTCGGCTGTTTTTAACCAAATTTCTGTACACAGAAATAGCCAAAAGAATCAAAGCAATTTCTGTTTTGAACTGGTTTATGATGGCATTTGGTACTGTATTTGTTATTCTGGGGCTCCATTCACAGGAATCCGGACAAATTTCAAATCTCTGACTTTGAAAACTTTTGCTCCTTGTGGACAGCAACAAAAAAGTAGTAGTTCGAACTGAGTTGTACTGTATTTGCCCAAAGTCTTGACCTTACAGATTCATTTATTGTGCTACTACTAAAACTGATACTCATCTGTTCATCTCTGATTCATTTGACCATCCAACTTCAAAGCTTATAATATATCCCTCCTACTTTTTATGACTAATAACAGAGGCGGAGCAAAGATTTCATGCTTATGGGTTCGGGATTTTAATCGTTTGAAATTACTGGGTGCTATACTAATAATTTATACATTTTTAATGGAATTTTTAAAACAAATACAGGGTTCGAACTAAGGCTACTGGATTCGGCCGAACCCGTGTCCAACACTCTGGCTCCGCCCCTGAGTAATAAGTCTATTGTTACTTTCATTGTACTAAAAGTAAGAACTTGTCTTGAATACTGAAGTATAACTACTATTTTTCATGAGTCTCTTTCAGGGATACAATAATCGGCAGACGATTTAATGTTTTAGCCACTTTATTTTATTTCCTTATATGCAAACATGGCTTAAGAATAGTAAATCTACAAGAATTTAAGTTCTACGCATCCATAGTGTAAAATTATATTTATATGATCAAGTCACTCTTAAGGTTATTCGAGGTAAATCTATGTCATAAGTATAGTTGGTAACCCGTAACGTTATAAATATAGTAACTAACATATAATAATATGGTAAATTGCAACTCTCTGTCTTATTAGCATATATAGCTTAAATTCATTATAGAAAAACTGTGAAGTATGCAACTCTACCACTAGCAAGTACCAAGCCCCACTGGTTGCTAAGTCATAAAGAGAAGCATTCCTTCCCTTAATTACTTCTACTCTCCTCACTTCATTTTGCCCATATTTATACACCATATATCTTTCAGAACAACCTCAAAAACTTTGTCCCTACTACTTCCACATCCCCAAAACAAAGGAAATATACCACAAAATACATTTTCATACATAAAGCTAATTAAGGATATGAACTACAAAAAATTAGGAGGCAGCAGGAAGATGATCAGAGGATTTATGTGCCAGCCTGAAGTGGCAACTGCAGTGTGCATGAGCTGTGATTCAAGGTCGGCTGTCGTGCCGACGGCGCGACGTAGAATGTTGGCGGAAGAACATGCAAAATTAATTAACAACTACTCCAAATGTACTAGGTTAGGGGATGTACCTCGTACACTTGGTTCTATGCCTATGATCAGTACTGCTGCTACTATTAGTAGGAAATCAAGAAATGGTGTTGGTGCTGTTTCCTCTGTTCCTGTTTTGACTATTAAGAAAGATGAAGAAAAAGGTTCCCAAATTGTTGTTCCTTCACTACTCTCTTCAGATAACACATTCCAGGTTACATATTTCTTTTATGATCTAAAAAGCATTTTTGTATTTAATTTAGTCATTGGATAAAAAAAAATATAGTGTGTTTAAGGTGGTAGCATATATTAATGCAGGTCGTTGTGATGAGGGTATCTCTTCATTGTCAAGGCTGTGCTGGTAAAGTGAAGAAACATCTCTCCAAAATGGAAGGTATACAAACTTAATACTACCACTGCTATTTGACTTGATAAATCTTTTTTTTTCTCCCCTTCTTGATAATTTTATCATAGAAAAACGGGTAAAGTTAGAAAAATCAGACAATAAAATACATCACTGCAGTTTTCATTTAGCGAAGTTTAGTTAGCGTTATTATTTTTTTCACCTTCTATCATGCAGCATATGTGCAAAAAATGAAAAAGAACACTGTCAAATTGCAGAGATTTTTTATTTTTTATTTTGGATTTGGAGGAAACTAATTACTAAGTTATTACTGGAGACAATGATTAATAATGTACGCAAGAAAGATCACGAGCCACATTGAATATACTTAAAAGGTTTCAACTTGAAGCAGAAGACTTACAATTTTTCCATTATATATAATGGAGCAGTTGCATAATTTGCATGCCCTTTGCAATTTCAAGAATTTTCTTTTACCTACTGTTTTTCTATGATAGTATGAGCAATCATGTCCAATAATGACCATAATAAATCGTATTTCGTCAAAGATTAACGTTTCATGATTACTACATATGACCTTATCTTCCAAAATGCTGTTATAGCCGACTAAATTAATGTACATAACTTAAATATTATTATTAAAGGGAATGGTTTGATTTCGAGTTATTTTAAATTAGCAGGGGTAACATCATTCAGCATAGACTTGGACAGCAAAAGGGTAACTGTGATGGGACACGTGTCACCTGTTGGTGTGTTGGAAAGCATATCGAAAGTGAAAAGAGCTGAATTTTGGCCCTGAATAGTTGTTGAAGAAGAAGAAGAGAAGAAGAACTGCATACCTAAAAGTGGCCAAACAATGTTGGTTGATTTGATCATTGCATGAACAGGAGAGAAAGACTGTTTAAAAGAAGTAGCCAAAAAATTAACTCAAAAGTATTTTTGTGTTTACTTTCAATTTAGGTAGACTGTTTAAATCCTATGGTCCCCTCATTGAAAAGGTCAGCTGTGGAAAATTGTTAAAATGCCAACATGTGAACAATGCCAGTATTGATGCTGATGTCTTTGGCCTATATAAAACTTTGAGCCAGTTTTTGTTTTTTAATTTTTTTTGTCCACCATTACCCAAACTTAAGCTTATTTTTCCAGTTTCTCTCGAGAAATGACACTTCACATGTATATCTGTATAGTATTAAAAGGAAAGTAGTGAAGCATGTTATTAAGTCAAGTGGCAAGCTAAAATGAAGTCACTTGACAATTTTAAGACAACATAAAAAATTGAATTATAAATGGAAACATATTTAATGGAAGTAGTAGTCCAAGATTTTCTGTAAGTTGAATTTTATTCTTTAATTAATCAAAGCCAATTATTTTAAAATTTAAACTAAAAATAAAAATATTCTCTTTTTAATGACGAAAGACGTACACAAAAAAAAGGATGGAATTTTCATTAAGCAAACCAATATACTATAAATATAGATATCTTTAATTAAATTTGTGTATAATATAGATTGTGTATAATTCAATTATGGTATGTATCATTTTTGAGAAAGAATCATTGTATATTACACATTAATTTTAAGTTAAAATAATAATTCTTTATTTAGTACAAACTTTGTATTTGACCTTATTTGTGAGCAATATACATTACTAGGTATCATATACATTACTATAGGTATCTTTAATTAAATTTTGTGTATAATTCAGTTATGGTAAGTATCTTTTTTTGAGAAAGAATTAATTAAAATTTCGTTAATTTCGTTTTGTATCTTACACATTTATTTTAAGTTGAAATAATAATTCTTTATTTAGTACAAGCTTTGTATCTGACCTTATTTGTGAACAATATACATTACTATAGGTATCATATACATTACTATATGTATCTTTAATTAAATTTTGTGTATAATTCGGTAGATATCCTTTTTTAAGAAAGAATTAATTAAAATTTTGTTAATTTCGTTTTGTATCTTACACATTAATTTTAAGTTGAAATAATAATTTTTATTTAGTACAAACTTTGTATTTAACCTTATTGTGAATAATATACATTATTATAGGTATCTTTAATTAAATTTTGTGTATAATTCAGTTATGGTAGGTATTCTTTTTTAAGAAAGAATTAATTAAGTAAATATTTTGTATCTTACATCTATATTATATTAAAGGAAATAATATTATTAACAAGAGGACAAAGGAAAAAGACAAGAAAAATTAAAGTTTGGTGGTTAACAAAAAAAAAATGAAGGTTGAAAATTCAAAAAGCCCAAAGCTAAAAAATGAAGATCTGTATCAATTCTTGAGCACATTCGCTCTTACACATTGATTTACACATACTTTTTTAAAAAATTAGGATTTCAGATGCCTTAAAAATTGATTTACTTCGATAGTTTTTCCTTAGAAATCTTTATTTAAGCAACTTTTATTTAGGTTTGGCTTCTCTACATTGCTTAGGGTTTAGCTTACGCACAAACTACTGCAAAGTATAGCTCCAAACTATAACTATTTGAGAGTGAATTTGATTCTTTCAAGTTTGATATGAATAATTCTTGCTTATATCTACTTGGTGTAGTTGAGAAGGATGAACCTACTTGCTTGAACAACCTAACTCCTTCTTTCTTTATTGTGAAGGATATCAATGGAGAATTTCTTGTTCCTTTGAAGAGGAAAATTCTAATAAGAAGTTAACTTGTTCCTTTGAGAAGGAAAGTCCTAATGCTATTCTCAAAGATGAAGAGGTTTTTGATAACAAGGGGAGTGAGCTAGTTGATGCTAGCTTTAGTGTTAATTTCTCTACTTTACGCTTTGAGGATACATTTTGGTCAAGCTTTGTAAATGCTTCTACGATAAAATGCAAGAATGATCACTTTGAAGCATGGAATAACTTCTTTGATTTTAAATGTGATAAATCTTCTTGTGGTGACTTCACTAATATTTTGAACTTCT